ATAGTTGGTCATTTCTTTGCTTATTCTACTTAAGTCCTTATTTCTTCCGTTATGATGGTAGTCATGATGTTTTAGCGCGTTTTGTACGATGACCTCATTATATTGGCGCGTGAATCGCACCACACCCGAGCATAACTCCATTTTTAAAGGACCGGTTTTGGTTGGTCCCGTGTGGATGACTAAGTAGAATGATGAAGTGAGGTATGGATGACTCTTACCTGGCTGCAGTGAATCGTCGTTTTCGTTCACTACACGGATCCGGCTCTACTCGTGCCAGCCCCGTCATTGAGTCTGAAACCTGATCTGGTATATTTGACTTTTGCGATTTGCCTATTGATCCCAGCACGTCGCCAAATACAATGGAGAATATCCTCGATATGAACGTTCACGTCATACCTGGTGGCTTACAATCGGATTGTAGCAGTGATATCGACCTTCGGGAAGATTTTCTAGAAAATGGTGAGTTCCTATTGGTTTCTATGCTTTTTATTTCTTCCTAAAGTTGCATTGAACTGAATGAATACCTTAACTTTGACAAGTAGTTTCAATTATTTCATTAATGAACCTTTTTTCGCCTGATCGGCTGACTGTCAGTGGTTCCATTTATTTCGTTTTCATTAACTCGTATATCTTCGTCGATGAGAATCAAAACCTCATTGTTGCCCAAATTGTTAACTCACTTGAGTAATAATTATCATCTTTTTTCTTTGTATGTTTTCATAAGCCCGGTAATCCGGCAGCATTATTTCAATTTGAAATATGTGACCCATTTTACAGAAATTATCATCGCTAAACATTTCATCCTTTTCATAACTTTTTTGTTTATTCATTTTTCACTATTTAGTTACTGTATGGCAAATATAACATTCATTTGGATGATGATTATTCGAAAAGTAAATAATTCAAGCAAGCAAATCAATGAGATTCACACTTCTGCCCCGAACTTTTTTCCTAAAATTTCTGTTTTCAGATTATCCAAGTATAAGCCATGATAGTGACGAGGCTGATGACGACATAGCCGACTTCACTGATGAGATTGGAGGTTTGATTTTAAGGTTTTAGAATTACTTTCCAAAGATGAAGTGATTTACGCTCAGCTGAAAAAAAAGCTTCTGAATTGCCATTGTATTACAGGCCCTAATCCCTAAGAAGATCTTCAATTTTTCAAAAATCTCAATAAAATCCAGCTCATGGCGGTTCCCCTTCACGTTCTACTCGGAGGCATAGTTAACAACAGGAACTTCTGAATAGCATACTTTTCAAGTTTTTCGAACAGAGAATGTAGGCTAATAGTAGTCCGTGATGGAATGAGTGACTACTGCGCGTGCGCAGTGGCTTTGCGCTCTTTTTTGAAAAAAAAATCCGGATTATTGAGTCAGAAGGCAGTGGCGTTTGTTGTTTGTAGAATGATCCCATTTACACATCAATTATATCGACCAGGAAAGTGGAAGGAAAAGATTAACTGGAAACCTACCGGAAACCCAGAAATTCCATTTTATTCCGCTCAAGATTTGACATGTGCTTGAAAGCTTCATGATGAAGTTCTTTATGGGGTTGTTCATTTCAAGGGAATATTCAGATTTCACAAAGAAGTACAATGCCTTCCGCATGCACATTTCTGGACCAAACAGCCAGCACAATGCAGGCCCAAGTGGGTGTTTTTTTTTTGTTCTCCAGTCATCAGCGTTGTCTGAAGCGCTGATACTGAATCATTTTCAAAAGCAAACATCACTTTTATGCTTTTCAGATTTCGCAGAGACAACAGCTGATTCTACTGTTGAAAAAAAGAGGAAACGCGTCAAGGATAGAGCAGATCGTGCAACAGTTGAACAGGTATCAGTTTCGCGTGATTTAAAGAAGTTCCCTTTTTGTATGCTTGTTGCTGATGTCTCTTCAGTTCCACTGGGTTTTTACTTTCTCAGTACTCGAACTTTCGAACATCCCTGCTGCTTCATAGCTACATCCACTTGTTTCGGCATTGTATTTAATTAGATGAGGCTATTCTCAAATGGAACCCGATCAGAACAGGGTCTCGAAAATTCTTTTCTATTGCTTTTCTTAAAGAATTCATGAGCTCCACTGAATAAACGGCAACTAGGGCCAAGCATTTTTCATACCAATATGAGAATTGCGTTTCCTCTTCGAAAATCTAACAAATGTGTAATGAATGCAATGCTTTTGCATTATGTTGTTAGTCCATCTTCCGTATTTTACAGCACATCTTGTTACATGTTTACCCCTGGGAATTCTTGATGGAGGCCTTCCAAGATTGGAGAGTTATGGGTAAAACTCCGGCCTCGGACGGGGCAAGCTGGGTCTCGTTAGTGTGGAACCACTCAACTCAAGATACCGCACCAGTTAAGATACCGTCCTGAGCCGAAGTCTTACCTAGGAGTCGACAGCTTGTGTCTTGATGAAGAATTCCGTACGACCAGACTCCAGAATCCAATATGGCGGTATTTCCGAATGTCGTTCCATCAAGTCTCATCGCTTCTTGATCTTATTACCGGTCTTGTTCGAACCGATTGGTAGCCCTTATTGATTTATACCTGCCTGTTGTAAGAAGTTAACTGTGATTATGGAATCTATAGGAGGGTTTGCAGACGGTAGGGCTGTAACGCACTTATGTAGGGACGAGAGCCGATTTGGTGGAAAAAAAACTGTTCTCGATTATGATAAGGAGAAATGCCATTTAATTGATAATCGTCCTCATTTTCCCAATGTGTATTATATGTCGTTGGCCTGTATTTGTGAATTGCGTTGTTTTTCGGTTTAAGTTGGGCTCTTCATCGTAATTCGCTGTGTAGGGATTAAGTATATTCGGGCGTTTTCTTCCTAATCTGCGATAGATTGGTCACAAAAATTCTATACTGAAATTGCATCCAGATAGAATGGGGTAGTTCTCTAGCGAATGTGCGATGTCATTTCGGTGACTTCAAATTTTGTTTTGTTTGCACTTAGGCGCCTGCGTTGGTAAATTGAGGAGACCGCTCAGTAGTGGTAGCATTGTTATTGCTACTTGTTTCACTGCTATGATGGATGGCGTTTTTCTAGGTAGGAGAACAATTAGCCCAGCTTCTTTATCGATCTTGAAATAGAGCCCATGCACATTGAGTTTGAAAGTGCGCTTCAAGCGCTTTCTATTTCGTAGAGTTGTTCTAATAGGCCCGTTTTTGCAGTTCCAAATGAGGTGCTTCAACCAAAATCGTGGTAATAGTGTTATTTTAACTTCTACAGCTGTTTGTGCCTATAATCCATTTATTGTAACTGGCGTAACTGTGGTGGTCCTTTTATTCTCCCATTATAAAGAATGAATTAAATCAAACCTTTAAAAAGAATTAAAAACCTTTTAGAATGATGCAATAACACAGGGAAGGGGTTTCGAAAAATTTTATTGCGTATGCTAATGTGTTTTTCGATAACCCTGATGGTACCTTTAATCGGTATCTGTTTTTCCATTATGAGCCTTTTTTCCAAATAGCCGTTTTGCAGGTACTAGATCCACGAACTAGACTCGTTCTATTTCGACTTCTCCAGCGTGGAACCTTGACCAATATACACGGTTGCATTTCAACAGGCAAAGAAGCCAATGTTTATCACGCCACTGATGAACAAGGTTCCTTAGCAGTGAAGATTTACAAAACGAGCATTTTGACATTTAAGGATCGTGAGCGCTATGTGGCTGGTGAGTATAGGTGAGCTCCAATGGCTAGAAACAACCAACGCTAGCTTTTTTTGTATATGCGGTGGGTTTGCTCTTTGCCCTTATTGTGACCATTTCCAGATATCGAACCGGCTATTGCAAACACAATCCTCGAAAAATGGTAGCAGTTTGGGCGGAAAAGGAAATGCGAAATCTGCTACGAATGCATCAAGCGGGTCTTCCTGTCCCAAAACCTCTTTTGTTGAAGGTTTGCATGTTTTTTATGGCATTTTTATTTTATTATTGTTTCCATGTCCGATTTCAGGGGCATGTGCTGGTCATGGAATTCATTGGTCGTGATGGATGGGGTGCTCCACTTTTGAAGAATGCTACCTTGTCATTAGAGGTAGGTAGACATTGTTCCATGTGTTTTCGAATAGTTTCCGCCTGGGGTCCCTTATGGATTGACGCAGCTTTTATTTACTGACCCACCGTTCTGCATTGTTCTTCCGGTATTGCCGCTAAACTTCTTCAGCAAACCCCAAAAAGCCTTGATATAGAACATTCCTCGTCCCATGATGATTTAAATCGAAGTTTTGCATTTAGAAACCATTTTTGCAGTTTAAAATTAGTAAGGGATCTTGAGATATTTCGAACACTCAAAAGGCTCGTCGTGACAGTCACAAAAAATAGGCGCACGAAAGCAATGTCCTAGGGTGTGGGTTCACAATATCCCTTATCTGTGTTAAGCCTAACTTACTTGTTTGCTTTAGGCTGCCGAGAAGTTATATCTTCAACTCGTACGCGACATGCGTACGTTATATCGTTCATGTAAATTAGTTCACGCCGATCTCTCCGAGTATAACACTCTCGTCCTTGATGATCGCTTGTTCATAATCGATGTCTCACAATCCGTTGAACACGACCATCCTCACGCCTTAGATTTTCTGAGATCCGACTGTAACAACGTTTGCAAGTTCTTCAGGTGCCGTCCAGTTTTTGCTTTGTCACCCTATATTGCATTTGTTCGCTTTGGTTTTGCAGAGGATTGGGAGTACCTGTGCTACCGGTGTCAAAGTTATTTGAGCTTATAGTTGATCCTCTCATCAAGGATAACGATGTTTCCAATTGCTTAGAAAATCGGTGCGTTTATACTTCCTGGGCATCACAAGTGAAACAATGAAACCCAATTTTCAGAACACTTGATCCATCAGACGATGCCCTCTTTATGAATGCATTCATCCCTCATAAACTCGATCACGTCCTACATTTCGAGAGAGACAGTAAATTACTGAAGGCTGGTGAAGAGGCGAACAATCCGTTCCAGAATATCATTTCCAAGGTAGCAATTTCTGCATGATCTTCATTCGCCTCTTTTCGTTTTTTAGTTTCGGGCTAAGAAACAATTCAGGTCGATGTGTTGGGTCAAGGTTTTGAGGAGCGCGTAGTTTCTTCATCTGATGACGAATCTATTTCGCAAGGCCATTCTGACGGCGATGGGAAGATCGTAGTGGAGACGAAAGGGAGGGTCACCAGTGGCAAACACTTCAGGTAACTTGATAGTTTAGTCATCTGCTGTTCTCTTACACTTATTGAGTAGCTTTCTATTCTGATTCTTTGTTATACACGATTTAGACTTTAGCATTTGTTGCCATTCACTGTATCGTATAACTACGTATTCATGTAATTTGTCCATGTAGAACGGTTACTTACCTACTTGTCCGTGGGATTCTTTGACGAAATTCAAGTGTGACATAACTTCCAGACTGTAGGGGCACTTGTTCTAAAAACTCAAGTAATTTGGATTTATTACTGGAACCGGTTTCGCATATCATTTGATTCATGTGTACTACCTACTACATCAGCCTTGAAGTTTCAATCATTTTCAAGAGGTCAGTTCAGCATAGAGTATGAGTGCCGCTTGGGTTTTTTATCAAGACTGCTTTGCGTTTGTCGATACCCCGGCGTGCTGCGGTTATTCGATATCCTAGCACGTTTTATAGCGAAGAAGCAGCACTCGAATAGTGGGTTTGAAATTTTGATAAGGACCTATGCATTTCAATGAATTCTCTTCTTATTTATGGGTAGAAAACTGGTGGATACTGTGTAAGAGGTGAATTGTAAAGTGGGGTATACAACAGATGTCCATCTTGACTTTCATTGATGGATTTATTTCGAGATTTTATTGTTTTTCTCCGAGCATTCTGTTCTTTTGTCCTGTTGTCATCGCTTGGGCGCTCTTTTATGAGGGTCTAGACTATTGATCATTTGACACTGGGCCCATATCGTGCATTATTTATCAGGGACAAAGACGAGACGCCCGAACAACGGAAAGCAAGAAAACAACTGATAAAGGAAGAGAAACGGGAGGCTCGGAAAACCAAAATCCCTAAGCATGTGAAGAAGCGCGCTCATCGGCAGCACATGAAATAGATCACTACCGAATCGGACAACGTCAGCCTAACATGTTGCTTTGGCCTTGCACTACTCCCATGGGACATGATTTGTCATCCCCTATATCAGCTGTACTTGCGTCAGGGCGGTCCACGATGTCGATACTTTGAATAACTCCACAACACTATTATTTGCATTTTCCGTTATGTATCGATTTTTCAGTTTCTCCCTCATTTTATGTCGTCGTATTATTTGTCGTGCTATTATTCTTTCGTTGCCTACGCTCTTAATTCGATATTTTGAAGGACGTAGTGCCTGTTCATGTACTCTTACCTTTATTCGCTCTTATCATAAAAGTTTACCAGGTATTTTCGCTAGAGTGTCTACTGACAGCGCACTGGTTTGCCCGAAAATCGATCACTGGCTTTTTTCCTGACTTGCGGGATTGATGATTGTTAATGTCGTTAAGTTTCTGCTTGGTTGTTGAAATGGTTATTGTTTTGTTTGCTTGTTCTTCACAGAATTTTATTCTTCACAGTCATTTGCATAAAACACTAAGAACCATTGACTTTGATTGAAGTTCTCTTCGTCTATTCGATACCCTACCAAACGATACATGATGTTCTTGCTAACTGGATTGATCTGTGTCTAACCAATGGATACTATTTTAGATCGTAAATTTAGTGGTTAATTATGGACTCCTCTTCACGTACCCCCCAGCAGCCTCCTAAACAGAGGAGACATATTGATAATAGTGCAGAGGTTAGCGAAAATTTTTGGCCATCTTTAATCGTGGTTCACTTCACAAGCGACGTTTACTTGCAATCATACTGTTTAGGTACGTCGCCGCAAAGAAGCAGCTGAACGCCTTATAAGAGAACGACATGAGGCGCTTCGACGTCAGCATGAGGAGAAAATTATGAAGATAAATGAGGAACGCCAACGTCAACAGCGAGAATTGTAATGATTTTCTTGTGATTAGCTCAACTGCCCCATCTTTTCCCTGCCTACAACGTGCCACCAATCACATTTAATGGCTATCTCGTTTTCTTGCTTTGCTTGGTAGAATACCACACTTTAGCGCTATATTAAATTACACTTATTTCATAGATACCATTGATGAGAAAAGAAAAATTAATGGTTGTACTATGAATACTGCTCAAAGTTAGTGTAAGAATTATGACTTATTTTTTGGTCACAAGTTGAAAAAACACTTTCTCCTGTTGTACTTGAAATCCTGTCTGCTACAGTAAAATCTGAAACTGTTGGATGCCCATTCTAATTTGTTTCAGGAAAGAGCGACATGCAAAAGAACTAAAAAGGCAGCAAGATGTTTTACAACGAAGAATGGCGCTGATGGAACGGGACAATGCTCGTAAAAAGGTCAGCAGTTCGAATTCTTATTCGTTCTCCGCTCTTGGTTGTCATTATGAAACCATTTGTAGGAAATCCTGGAGAAAAACCACGCTGTAGTTTCACGTCTGGCTAACAACTCGTCGCGTAAAAATTATGCGTTCGGTTCGTCAACTCCTCGCGAGCTGTCTTTCCTTGAGGGTCGCCTAAAAAATATGGCTCAGGAAAAACGATCGTCACCAGAAAAACAGGTTAATCTCAAGATGCTTCTCTTCTGGGAATCCGTATTTAGTTGACAATATTCTAGAACTCAAATGGTTCTGTGAATACGCCAACTCGTCGCCCCGGGGCTGCAGCCATGTCCTCCTCTATGTACGTACCATCTAATCCTGATCGAGGACGCCATACATCATCCGTCACTCGACTCTCCCAGCCGAAGGTAACTTGCTCTCTTTCGCCATCACTTTCCCGTTATTTTTCCTCGCCGTGGTTCAAATGTTCGAAAACGCTTATTGGTATGGGAGCCTGTGGTTAGCGAGGTTCAAAAATGGAATTGGTCCTTCGTTAAAAAGAGAACAGAACAACGTTGTCGAAATAGCGTTGATTGAGCCTTTCTCACAAATGATTGTAGTGTTATTTAGGAACGTGCATAGGCTAGAGTTCTTCCGATCAAAAATGTGAAAAGGAAACGTTATCACGTTTAATGATTGGTTATACCACCTTCCCTTGTTGACGTTTCCCGCTCCGTGGGGCTTTTCTTTGAGTTGCGTTGTGGTGTTCACAACCTACCTTATAACTGCAGTTGCTCGACGTCCCTGTTCATATCTTTTTCGTTTTTTTTTTCACTGCGATAACGTCACATATCACCTCCTCTTGCAGCATTTTTTTATAAAGTGCAGTTATCGCGGAATGTGTCTTTGAAAAGGGTTTTACGGGAAATCGAACAGTTCCTTTAACTGTCCCACATAAGACTAGTAAACGATTTCGAAACCAACCACAGAAAGTCAGGAATATGCTTCCATGTTGTATTAATATTGAAATTTGTCTTTTCTAATTATGTTTTTAGTATCAATGGCACTTCTCTTGACCGCTACCTACTTTCAATTTTTCTTTTTTTTTAAGCGAAGCACCTGGTTAGTTTGTGGNCTTGTCCATTACTTAAATGCCTCCGTGCAATTTCCCCCGTAGCAAAATTCAAAATTTATGATGATGATGCAACTAAGAGCAACTGGGCATCCACAAACTGTCAAAGTAGTCACTCGGTGTTATGTTATCATTCTAAGATAATGCTGTCATGTATACAAGCCAGCTGTTATTTACCTCGACCTTATTCAAAAATTTGCTGATGTCGCGCTTGTCGTACTGCTAAATGTAACAAGGGTAAATATAAGGGAAAGACATGACCAGGAAGTACCGTAATATAAGATCAACTCAATATGATGTGAATTTGATTGCTTTCTTCCACTAGAATGTGAGATGCTTATCACCTACGTTGAAGTGTTGTTGTTGTTGAAGTTGCACCCGAATTGGCTGTTAAATATATCAGCCATTGTGGTTAGGAAGTTAGGACTAGTGAAAGCTGCTACTCATAGTTGGAAAACACTTGCAAAACAAACACCCAATTAGTGCACTGCCAGACATTATGTACATAACGTACGGACAGTGTTCTTGAAATTGATGAATGGATCGCATGGAAGAAAGTAGGCGCGGCTGCTGGCGGAGAACATGAATGGGGTATTCATATAAAAGAGTATAACTTGATTACGGATAGAATAACAGAATTAACGTCGTCTGCTTTTTTTCTTTTTCCTCCTTGAATCCATAAGACGAATGCTGTCCTCAGAACGTCAGATAATTTATATGGACGACAACTGGCTGCGAATATTGGACCTTGGCCGTTTTAATAGAGCAACACGAAAAAGATCCATGGATGAATCTGGCTGAAGTATGGATCAGGACCGGGCACCACGTTATACAACAAGTCACCACAGTGACGCCTTAAGCTTTAGCTAGGCTTCTATAAATTGAGTATGAAACTCGGCATCGCCTGAGGAGCACGCGAAGACTTACAAGTGTGGAGGGAATGGGGAACAGGTCAAGATGTAGGATATTCACAGCGGAGCTACGCCTACCCCAAGTTTCGGTCCAAAAGCCGGCTGACATGTATACCTTGCAGGAAAACCGCGGAACCTGCACATCAACAATGCCTCAGATTGGATAAATTCGGAAATGACAGCAGAGACAGAAGGGGTAGAGCAATTTATGCAAGAAGTGTCAGACTTACATTGGGATGCAAAAAAGTGGCGAAGGACGAATCAGACTTTGAGTCTGTGGCTTCTGTCGTTGCATTTCGCCTTTCGTGTAGAGCCTTAGAACAAGCAAAAGTTTGCAATCCGAAGGTAGCACATGTGGATACCTTGCAATTCGCGAGCTTTGGGTCATTGATCGAAAACTTTGCATTGTTCGTCAGTGGCTTGCACTTAACGAAATGTGTTGTAGGTAAGGTGATACTCTTGCGTACTGAAAGATGATAAGTAGGGGATCACATCGAAGCACTTCAAATGAGTAGATCTTTGTGTGGTGGGACAAACAATTCAGCCAGGAGCAGCCATGAAAATTTTCATTTCACCTTATTTGTCTCAGAATCGATGAAAACGAAAAATTGCTGTTAATACTATTGATAATGACACCAGTCCACCTGATACCCGACCGATAATGTGCATTTATTGAGTCTGCTGCAGCAGCTACTTTTGGCAGATGACGAGGTCTCTTATTGAGTCGCAAAACTTGACGTTTCAGTCGTGAACTAACAACAAAGAACGAACCAAACCTCGTTCTCCTCATTGGCGCTGATTTCGATGGGCCGTTATCGCTCGCAGTCAGCTTTGGTCGCCAACTAAATGCGATCCCGTTACATACCACATCATCTACCAATGCGCTAGGGTACTAATGGTAAAGGAAAGGCGTAATGGATCTGTAACTTTGCCCTCGAAGGTTCCTTATCAGTCTCTTTATCGCCTACCATCTTGTATTCCCTCCAAATTCGGATCTCTAGGTCTTTAGATACAGGGAGATAGGTTCTATAAATTTCCGTTCACACCCACAAATACACCCTTTGTAAATCAAATATAGCGGGATTCTTGACTTTCTTAAATGTGCGCGTTTATATTAAGTGTGTTTTATGCAGACTAGTGCGTTTCTAGGATACATATTGAATGGGCGCGTTTATAGCAAGTGTATTTCACGCAGATTACTACGTTTCCAGGATACAGATGCGCAAAAGGCAGCTCTCTGCGTAAAAACGCACTAGTCTGCTTCAGTAGCGTTTGCATTAGTCTGCGCCAAGCACTAATAATATAAATGCGCTCAATGTTAGCAGATATCAAACTCTTTTGCATCCATGATACAAGGCTTACATTCCTATCACCAAAAGTTCCCCAACCGTATGTCCTGCTTACATACTCTTTGATATTATTCGTAATACTTGAGCGATGGTTTCAGAGCACTCCCACCAAGCAACAGAATCTTATGACACAGTCGGTGTACAGTCAGTCGACGAATTCTTGTGTGTCGCCAGCTTCACGTTTGCAACGAAAACCTTTGAGTCAGCTTACGGCGAGTGTCCCCAATACTCCACTGGGTTAGTCGTATTTATTTATTGTTATTTTTATTTGTTTTGAGTCGTGCTGTGAGTTCTATGTGGTGTGGGTCCCAATCTTCATATCCGACGCAATTACTTACCTTTTTGGTACTCTATGGACCATTTTTCAGCGTCGGTCCCTCCACATGAAAGACAGAGGAAACCGAAACCCAAGTCTAAGCCAAGAGGACTCCTTGTGGTGGGCACTGGTTTTTCCTAAACGTTATGTACTTTTGTTTTGAGAGAACTATGCGATTTGCTTAAGACATCTGCTAACAACAAGAAGTCGACTCCAACTGCGAAGTTGTCCAAAAGTGTGTCAGAGTTGGCAAGAAAGGAGAGTATCCATTCGAATGATACGCACTCATCTATTGGGGCAAGGACTTCCGAATCGCCACTTCTTGATGCATCTTCCACATCCGATGAAGTCCCGCAAGAGATGCAAGAATTGGAGTCTAACAAGGAAGTTGTCGTAATGGAAGTGGAACAACAAGTACAGCAGGTAAGTAATGGGCCACACTTGTATACAAGTTCATGTCGGTAGGGAGAAAAGCCGTCTTGAGAAGAAAGTTGTCGACCGACTGGCATGCATTGCTGTAGTCTGCCTAGCATAAATTTTCCTTTGCCATTACCCCATGCCCCATCGCCTGCATCCTCAGATGATGCGAGTGTTGGGGAAATGGTAGAAGTAAAATATCTTTTCGGAACATTGGAAATGAGGCTATTTAGAAATGAGATGTTCTTCGGAGCATTTGAATGGGAGCTATTCTAAAATGAAAATTATAGCGGGAAGATGAGATGCAACAAAACGGTGATGGTTCGCAGCATCATTCTGAGCCAGAAGAAGTGCCATTAGCAAGTCAGCCGATCGCTACTGAGCACAACATCAGCGTTCACAGTGCTGTCGATCATCAGGTACATCAGTATACATTTTGTTTCCATTTTGGACGTTAACAGTAATAATGAAGCATTTTTTAACAGGAGCAGGCCAGCGAAGAAGAGTCTATGCAGAAAGCGCCTGTGCCTGAAGTTGAAGAGCCTAATGATTCCTCAGCTGTGGCAGAGCTGGTCAGTTACTCTGTGATATTGTTCGTTAGTGAAGCATGCTTTTCCTAGCAGTCAACTTCTGCACGAACCTGCAGTTCTGATTCTACGGATGATGTAGTGAACTGGTCAATTTTGGGCCGGTATTCGTTACCCTTCATCTTCTTTTCAGCGCCTCAACACTCCACGCTTTTGTTGTCACACCATACTTACTAAATCATAAGGTGTAAGGTTTAAACCCTTCTGGTGCTGTAAAGTGATAAACTGAACGACGCTGGGAAGATTATGCGATCGCGTGATTTTTGTCCTCTCTCCTGATGTTACCTAATTTACCACTGACTGGAATTATTTTCGCAGGAATCTACTTTTTCAGATCTCTATTTCCGAGGCTGTCGATACTAATAAGGTTATATCGGAAGCTGCACATGGGGATGTAGCGTCTGCGCCATCGGTTGAAAAAGTTAGTATTGGCCTCATTGCACTTTTGTGCGGCTTTCTTAATTGCTTTCCACCAGTTGCTTCATTTCGTAACGTCATTTTGAGACCATGTGGTTCATTACATAATCTAGGGCGGTGCTTCATTGGCAGACGAGTTGGCTGGAATCTTCGATGCTCCGTTGCCTCCGCCGCCGATATCTGTGGTAGTGGAAGACTGTGGAGAAGGGGTATCGCCATCTTCAGTAAGTTGTTAGCACTTGAAGCTTTCTTGTTGTTCCCGAATGAGCTACTCTCGTTCTTCAGTAGCGCAGAAAGTTCCTCTTTTCAGCAACCTGCAGAAAACGTTGAAGGTGTTCATAAAGAAGAGCCAGTGACTGAAATCCCGAAAGAGGAACCTGCTGCTGAGACACCTGAAGAAAACCACGCCATGGATGCTGTTCAACTTAACACAACTGCAGTCGAAGTCAAGGGTGATGTTGTCGAAGAGCATCACACGGAAAGCAGTCCTCTAAATGATAAGCCCGACGAAAACATTTCTGATGCGGAAATTCAAAAGAATGACATAACCAACAATGTACAAGAGGATCAGGCATCAGTCAAAAAACCTGAAATGAACACCGAAGAGCAAGTGCCCCCACCAAAAGAAGCTGTTGACGTCGAACCGAAAGTAGTCAGTTTTACTTGAAAGTTTGAAAGTTTTCATTGTTTCTGAACTAACATTTGGCTTGGTTTAGGCTGCGGTCGATAGCCATGCTGCCGTAGCTCAGGTTAATGGTATCGAAAAACCTGCAGTACCACCAGCAGTGATTACGGAACTCCCTGGAACTGTTCCACCAACCAAAGAAACCGATGAAACTGTGGTGAAGAAGGTACCTACTCCTCCAAACGAATTCATTGTGAGTTGCTTCGTCTTTTCATTCATATTCTTCTTTTCCATTTCATTACATCGACCACAATTGTCGTCAGGCTCATCGTCTTCGTCGCGAACAAGAGCAACGAGAACTCGATGAGCGAAAAGCGAGAATTGCAGCAATATTGGCCAAGTCACGCAACCTGTCTAATGCAACGACTCCTCTTGTGGCAGGACGAACATCGCCACCTCGAAGTAGGTTGAATGTCACATTCGGAGGCTAAGTCAGTTGCAGTCAATAACCCATACCTAATGCTTGGAAATAAGTGTACAACTCAAAGTTTAAATTAAGGTTATAACACTTCTTAGTCTTACTACTTCTTCAGCTGAGTATTATAGCTGCAAACACCCGTGATGAGACACACCTAATATGGGTGCACCGTCATAAACTGGCTTAATTGCTTCACTTGCGACAAAAACTTTCAATTCAGTTAAATGTTGCAGCAGTTTGATATTAAACCAGTACGGTTGCTACTTTAGTTCCACTATCAGTCTATGAGCATATACCTTTCTCTGCTTTTCACATTTGCCGCCTACCATGGGCTGGGAGGAAGTGTTCCCGTTTTGTGAAGAGAAATCGGCGGGTAGTGCAGGTAGAATAGCTATTAGAAGCAATGTACTCCTAAAGTTCATGCAAGGGGACCTTGAACTATAAATCTCCTTTTGATTTGGACGTGGATTTTGGAATTGTTGATATTGGTTGGTATAAGTGACGGGTNCTACTCACAGCTGTCGGTTAGGTTAGTGTGTTGAACGTCAGCGGTTAAAATCACGTCTGAATGAGTATTTTGCTATCGGTGAAGGTAGTTTCGAAATAATTTCGAAATGCTGAGAGATTTACTTCCGCTCTAGACGAAAGAATACTGTTTCCATTATGTTGAATTTGATGGCCAGCATCGGAAATGAAATTGAAATTAGTTCGCATTTCGAAATATTCTAAGACGACACAGGCCTCTCAACGTTTTTTTCTGTCCGTCGGAATGGATAGACTGAGGAAGGAAGAATTATTTGATTGAAAGTTCGTTGAACTGACTAAATTAGTTGGAAATGAAGGATGTGAACGTTTCAAGCCAACTTGCGCTCACCAATTTATTATAGGCAGAAGCCGGATAGGCTAAAATAGCAGTGCCACCACATACATGTCAATATGCTTCCCTTCCGTTGGAATAACGCCCTGATGTGCTTTGAACATAACCACGCTGGTTACGATTCTTCAGAATATGACATGGGTTATATGTAACGCGCTTCAGGGTAGATAAACAACTAATTATAATTGGAACGTTGCGACGCCGTCATAGCAGCGCCCAGGGAGCAAACGATTGAACGGTACCCTACCAATCAACTGTGCCTGTCATTTTTCTATCGTTGCCTAATTGGTCGTATTCATTTGGTAGAATATTAAGCTCCATTTTAACTTCCATATGTTGCTCGCATAACGGCTTGGTCCGGAAGTATAGCTAGTACGCATTTGAAAACAGCACGGTGGATGCCTCCGAATCAGTGTTGTTCAAACTTGGAAATTTACTACACCACCCTTTGGGTAAGATGAATGTACTCGACAGAGCAAGCAGATCGCTTGCAGAGAGTCCTTTGGAGTTGATCGATAACCGTTTGAGAGCGCTCAAACAAGGACATAAATCCTCGCTCTTTTCTCACAGGTTATCTCTACAGCTTCTGTCTCAGTGATTTGGTGATTTCAGGTGAGCTATAGTCGATTTTCCGCACACTTTATTCCGAGAAATCAGTATATTGTATCGAAACGTTTCCCGTTTATGCAATCGCTGTCGAGCATAGATTGTTCATAAGGCTCTGGTCAGCGATTGGCCACTGTATGGTTGATCAACTCGAAGCATGAGCTCATTGCTATTGCCCCTATTGGTCGAATTTACTTTCTTCCTCGATAAGCCCATGTTCCCAACTCAGCTTTACTGAGATGACGGCGAATATCAGCTAGAAAAGGTGTTGTTTGAGTAGATGGTAAAAGTTCTCACTGAAAGTCCTCCTTATCCCTCCTTATCCGTGATCCTAAAAAACTAATTTCACCAGATGTTTAATCGAACTCCGGCAACTCCTTGTTTTCATCGTGTTTTTTTAAATCTAGATGTGTCGGTTGTTGTATACAGTCGAAAAAAAAGATATTACGATGTAATGACGCTATTCGCTGGTATGCTGTTTAGATTTGAAGATTTTTATATGATCAGGTCATACAGGGTTCCTTTTATATGCTCAGCCTTTTGATTCTTTTTTTTTTCATGATCTCTCCTAATGCCAGAAAGGTTGATGATACAAATGGCGATTTTTGAAGTTGTTTCAGCTGAGTCGGCTCAAGATGTCCTCAAACGGCTGGCCTCGAATGGCAATATTCCAGCATTGCAAAAACTCGTTGCGCGACATGCATCAGAAACAGCTGCAATAGAACAAGTGGGTCATATACGTCTAGAGTATTGTAATTGATTATCTTTCATTGTTTTTTTTTNTTTTTTTTTCAGTTCGCCGCTCCGGAGGATCCTGCACCGCAGGCCATCTAGACTGATTCTGATGGCGTACAATTGACGATATCATCTTACGGGTTTCTACTGGTAAGGTATCAATTCATTGAAATGTTCTCTTGGGCTGACGTATAAAACGCTGAGGCTTAGAAGGTTGCTGAGTTCCCCTTCTAGTAGAATTGGGCTATCACCTATTGCAAGTTCTAACGATCATTCAACTAAAGTCCCAGAATTGTTTTAGTTGGGGTTTATGTGTATTAGAGATGGTAGAGATCGTTGTGAAGTGGGTGGGTGTGCGGCCAAGGTAATTATTTTTTTAATTCATAGTATGTCGGACAGTGCAGCTCAGCTGAAGGAAAGTCTCAGTGAGGCGCAGGTAGGAGGTTGGTAGCACCTGAAAGAAACTAAGGCTGTGATCCCCAACTCCGAAATTTTGCCTTTCGTAATAAGTGCACTTACCAGCAGATTGCAACGTAGGCCTATAGGGACAATCGGAAATTAATGGTGGCTTATTTCAGATCTTGGAGTTCTTCTCGCCGCTAACGCAGCTATTTGATATTTGTATAACGCTGGAGGCAGTAACAAAGCTGATGTTCGTCGCGTTGTGAATGATTTCGAAGTGTGCATTTTAGGGGAATACCTGGGCCAAGCTAAGGGTTACGACTTCATCCCCGTAGTCTCTATGCCCATGTTTTATCCCAAATGGTCTATTGGTTCTTCATACTTGAGTGTTAACTAACCAGTTCCCCCTATTCTTAACCATTCACTATAGATTGTAGATAAATACATCTCTGGAACGATTCCATGAAACATGTACATATATGGCAAGTGCGCAGCTAATTAAACTTCAGACTTTTATCTTTGCCTTGAAAACTATTTGTATTATGGTTCTCCACATTGTCACTTACAACTTGTCATAATCTACCCGAAATCTAGTACTTCAGTTAGCAATTTCAATTTTCAATGTCTTTTGCGATTGTTTCAACAAATTGCTGTTACTTACTTGCCTGTCTTGGTACTGTTTTAATCGTTTTCGCGATTGTCGTAACATTAGCTTGACCTTGGGGCATTATAACGCGGTAGTATCAGGCTCAGTTTTACTTTAGTTACTGTAAACAAGACTGGTTACCTTTCCTTTTTTGTACCCGCTGGTTATTCTAATTTGTCGTTCGTAATTTGTATTTTGAAAGAAACCGTGCATTCCATTACTTTGGGATGGTGATGTGCGTTTCCCTTAGATTAAAAGCGCCTTGCCTGACACGGAGGAATGGAATCTGAAAGTATGAACTTGTCTTACTTCAATGATAACATTTGTCTACGTAATTTTGCATGGAAGTGTTTTATACTTTTTCGATTGCTTTATTTTTTTTTCTTACTCTGAATTCTGCTTTAGTTGTACGTAGTCAGGTGCTCACTAGTTGCTTGTATCATTAGTCTCATATACTTCCATATTAACAATATTCGCTGCTGGTCATTAAATTTTGATGACATCCATGTTGTCGTACGTCGTGGGTTAATTTCACCGCATCACATCGTGCTCGCTCAGCTTTGTAGCTCACATTTGTTTATGATTACTTTATGTGAATGTGTTTGTGTTGTATTAGCCGCACGTTCGTACGTAGAACGTGGTCTATCGTCACTATCGTGTGTGTGTAGTCCTAATCTTTTTTTTCATTCTCCGGCAAGAGAAATCCTTGTGCATGTTTTATGATATTCTCGAGCTAGAGAAAAACCTTTTACGGTGTTTATGCCGGCAGTTTTTTCCCCTGTGAATAAAGCTATTCTTTTCCTTACGTTCTTTTTGGTTAAAACAGGGTTACTGTACCCATTTTCCTCCCACTTATGTTGATGTTTTGTCTGTGATTGCGGAAATTGGCTCTTCTCCAACACGTTTTGTCAACGGCGGTGTGTACTATCGATCGGTTGCGTCGCCACTATTTGGCTGCGTATGCCTGGTAATTGATCGCACCGTCTCCACTCGTTTGTCAGCATTGTCGCCATGAGTTGCTTTGAACAGCGTTCTCTTATGTTTGCGTATTTTCGCTGGTTTTCTAATGCTTATACTAGACTGTGCTTTTCTAGTACCTTGCTACCTTACAAAGCCGTTAGCTGCTATGTTGTCCCCTTTTATAACCATTCAAGAATGAATTTCGAAAAGATTATGGTAAGAAGGTGTCTTTGTGTGTCAATGTTTTCCTTGCTGGCACGATCAATTTCGAGGGATATCAGAGAGGCTGTCGCATCGTCAAGCCGCTTGAGTGAAGTTTTCATAAGCTGCAAATACTAACATTGATTTAGTCCAGAAAGCTAGTGTCTCATTTGTTAGAGAAGTCAGTTTTCAACGTCCCATGATTGTGTGATGCAGTAAACATAATTTCTTCATCGCTTCGGGTTATAAATCGAATGTTAGCGAAACTCCTGGGCATTGGACGACTGCTAATCCATATCTATTACATCTTATACCTAGGACAAAAACGTATGACTTGGAACGGGTTTGGAAATACAAGATTGCTGCTCTTTCTTGTTTACCAATGAAAGTGGTTCTTAATCTGTTAAGGGTGCACTACATAGACAGGTTCGATGCTAACGCAGTACTTCCTTTACGCTTTTTATTATAACCCGGATGCTCGGAAAAGTTTGTCGTTTTTCAAAGCATCGCTCGTGCATCGACGGGAATTCGCGCATCTTTTGTCGAAAGTAGTATTCTATGTCTGTAAACAAATTTCGATCTCAACAGTGAAAGAACTGTCCTGAAGGGAATGGTAAGCAAGATCCGTGTGGCTAACTAGTCCGGCTAGGTGAACCTGTTTTCTTCTTGGAGACTCAGTCATTCTTTCTAGGGACAGTTTCTTTTCTAACCTTATGAGGCCGTTCTCGACCAAGTTCGATACATGAAACCTATGGGCAACAGGAGCGTCAGCCTATCTCCCCACGAAATCAGTGCCGCGATTGCCAACAGGTCAAANCTCGGAAAAGTTTGTCGTTTTTCAAAGCATCGCTCGTGCATCGATAGCAACGGGAATTCGCGCATCTTTTTTCGAAAGTAGTATTCTATGTCTGTAAACAAATTTCGATCTCAACAGTGAAAGAACTGTCCTGAAGGGAATGGTAAGCAAGATCCGTGTGGCTAACTAGTCCGGCTAGGTGAACCTGTTTTCTTCTTGGAGACTCAGTCATTCTTTCTAGGGACAGTTTCTTTTCTAACCTTATGAGGCCGTTCTCGACCAAAGTTCGATACATGAAACCTATCGAGTAAGAACATAACATTCAGGTGGAAAGGATAATAGAATGAAAATAATTCATTAATTGAATAAAAGCTTTTTAGGGACCCATTGCATAACCAGTGCTCCTTCTGCCATCGCGTTTATTTCTCTCATTCTCAACTCATTAGCTGTCTTTATATCCAGTGCTTGTGGATGGGCAACAGGAGCGTCAGCCTATCTCCCCACGAAATCAGTGCCGCGATTGCCAACAGGTCAAACTTACCACGCTTTCTTTCCTTGTCCATGGTCCTTATCGACGCGTCTCATACACATCTAGTGGTTAGGGGTTGTATATGGGAAACGGGTGGTTGGGAGCCCCCTTTGGGTGCGTTGCTGGTGCGCATTTGAAGATGTGAAGTAGGTGTGGATGGTCCGGCGTTCTGCGTCGATCAAGGTCTCACAACTCAATGAGGATTCAAAGTTCCTTCACCCCTCCACGTTCCGTTCCAGTAACTTTGTCAGTGTAAAAGTACTAACCAAATCTTCACACTGCGGAAAACGTTCGAAACATTAAAGCCGATGATGATTAAGGAGTGAACAATTGTTGTGAGCTGAAAAGGAGCATACGGAGTAGAGTGTAGGAGCGTCTCAAAGCGTCAAATCTTTGCCTTAGTCAGCGAACCGTGAAACAACAATGGTCGGATGACTCCGAAGACGTTCGTCATTAAACCGGCGACAGGAGTGAAGGTGGTCTACGAGGGATTACGGGCTTACTGGCTTTCTACTTTTATTGAGGGGTTCCTTATGTTGGCATGGATTTTATCGAACTACTCAAGTGCGAAACGTGTTTTGTCACTTTTTTGTGCTTTGCTGTGTTTTGGAAGGGAATGTTACAATCATTCTTCTGTTTCCCATTGTTTTCGCTGATTCAAGTTATATGTGGTGCAAGCATAAGCATTCTAACGACATACGGTAGTGGTGTTCACAAAAACATGGCGACAAGTCTTGGCCTCCGGTGACAGTGAGCTCTCTTGTGTTAAAGTGGCTCAAGCAAAGCCAACGCTCTCACTCGATTGTCTCTTGCCCTAACTTTCGTTAGTATGTCGTAAGTGCAATTCTCAGCATGTCTTGAAATGGGATCGTCTTTAGTGATTATATCGTTTTCGAAACTATTCCGAGTTGAAGTAGTTAAAAGTGCCAACTTGCGAGTTTCCCAATTTCAAGCTACTTTTGCAGGATCGATGTGGACGCGGCGTCCGCTAGCCTTGTTGTGGAATTTTTCTAACACTCGCCATCGATTCAGCACTGGAGCAGCCCTCAATTTGGTGTCTGCCAGGTATGGGGACCCGCAAAAGGATCGCAAACGTCCACCACTAGTTATCTGCCACGGAATGTTCGGACAGAAACAGAACTGGCGCAGTGTCTCATTGGCTTTGCAGCGACGTCTTTCCTGCACTGTTTATGCAGTCGATCTGCGCAATCATGGCGAGTCTCCTTGGGCGGATTCGATGAAATACGAAGATATGTGTGAAGACGTGGTAGCGTTTCTAGCAACGATTTCAAAGGAGACAGGTTTCTCCAGTTTTCGCATTCTTGGCCACTCTATGGGTGGAAGGCTGGTGATGAGGTTGGCTGTCGAGCCCAGTTGGCAAAATTCGATTGACCGACTTATTGTTGAAGATGTCTCCCCTAAAACTTATCCTGGAGACTTTGCCGCTCATATGGGATTTCGAAAATATATACATGCGATGGCAGCGTTAGATATGAGTAAGAGTCGTCGGGAACTCCTCAAGGACTTGGAAGAGATCGTTCCTGATAAGGCTATTCGCGAGTTCCTATTAACAAACCTTGCACCTTCAGATGTATCTGGAGTATCCAAATGGCGATGCAATTTGAAAGCAATAGATGATAACTTAGAGACAATTTTAAGGTTTTCCATGCCGTCAGGGACGTTCAACGGACCTACACTTTTTCTATACGGGGAAAAATCGGAGTACGTAAGGAGTGATGACAAGAAGTATATAAAAGACTACTTCCCAAATGTTCGCTTCAAGGGTATTCCTAATGCGGGTCACTGGGTTCATGCTGAACAGCCGGCCGCGTTCATTGATAGTGTTTCCAGTTTCCTTGAGTGATCTCAATAGGGAATTTTTTTTTGTAGTTTCGCTAAATATTTCTAGTCGTTGTTGCTTTTTTAGGAGTTCCCCATTCTAGCTACACAGTAATATTTGCATTTTGACCATGACGATCGAAATCCATTAGTTGAGTCTAGCTTGTAGTTCTAATTCATCCTTTGTTGACGTAGTTTGTTAAATGATACGTTTACAATCTATCAAATCTGTTAGTTCTGAAGTAAAATCATATAAACGAATGTGGTTCTTCTTTAATCCAACGTTATCACTACGTTCACTACCTTCACACGACGTGCTGGTATTTTGAGCTTTTCGTTTCGTGATTTAGACTAAATTTTGTGTGAGCTTCAATGTTGTTTCAGTTGCAGCTACATTATATTGCCTTTTAGGTCGGGATCGGGTGAAGAATTAGAAATCAATTCTTTTCTTCCTAACGTTTCCAGTTCTTCTAGTCTTTGAATCTCTTCACTCATTAATTGGTTCATCACATCACCGGGCCCATCTTTTTGATATTTGCCGAATCCAGTAGGCTTGAAAAGGTTGGAGCTCAATGACAGGGGATAGACTGCTTCTTTACAGTGGCCTGCACTGTTTCTTGGCTGCTTTCAAACCTCAACGATTCAGTGATATGCGTTCGTCCGTCTGTCCTTCGAGGCGTGCGGGCGATGACGGCGCTGGTCAGGTGTTGGCAACATTGGAAGCCGATGGTTCACGTGCCAGTGTTGTCAACAAGTGGCTAGCAGCGCCATCGCTCGCACGCGTGCACGCGACGGACGGACGGACGGATGCCTGTCCTTGAATCGTTGAGGTCTGAAACACTTCACACCTTATCGGTGCATCTGTTTTCCTCATCTCCATAATTCTTGTGAAATTTTCAAGGATTGGAGTTCTTCCCGAGTTGTTATCAGCTGATAGGGCTTGAATACTTCATCTATTCAAAAATGTCTCACTATTACTCAACACATTTCTATTCTACTTGAGGTTTTGTAATTTTACTTTTTAGTCAATTTAATAGTTGGTCGTGATTCCACGTCAAAGCCTTGATTTCGAGAATGTCTTTGAGTCGACCTATTTTATTCGCCGTTGATCTCCTTGTTGAAATCCACTTGTTTTGCGTTAGTGATTGTCGCACCGCAACAAGGATGTTTCCGCGGTAAGGAAAGGACAAAACACTTATGGCTATTTTGAGGGAAAGGTGGTAAAGAAAGTTCAGCTCTATCCTTCACAACAGCAGATGTTTTAAACAACCCTTGTATATCTTTTATAGCATTTCTCTGTATCCACATCCATGACATCCACCAATGCTGGTTTCTATAGCATACTGATTGCTGTCGCGATTTTGCTTATTAAGTGTAATAGGTCGCGGGGGTTAACGAGGGTTTGATTCGATTCTAATGATAATTGCATCTGGTTTCTTCGTTGCCTCAGTGTGCTTTCATCTCGTCTTGACGTCTTGCTCTATTGTGTGCGTCAATAATTGTGGGCTACTTGGCTCTCTTGTCTTCATCAGCTGTCGGACTCGTCAGCGGGCCGCGGCCCTTTCACTTGCAGCTTATAGAATTAGTCTTGGTTTGTGCAGGCATATAGGTAGCGATAATTCAGGGATTTTCAAAAATACGTTGTTTACATGTTGATGCTACAAGGTTTAGTTGACGCCACAAAATGATCTAGTCTAGCACTTATAATCCAAGATGGTGTTTTTTGAGGCGATCGGCTTAGAAGCAACTAGGTGATATGTGAGTAGGAGGCTTGAGGGTGATGATTGTTAGGTGGACGCTGACCAGTGCGCCGCAATCGCGAAATTAAACGAAACAAAGGCAAAGATAATGAGAAAGGAACCACCGCTTGTACCACTTCCCTGCCTTATTCGAGAGCTCTCCAACGGTTGGATTTCATAGTGATACGCCCTTCGAGAAAGTTCATGAGGACGTCTCTCAACGCTCAACGCTCCTGGGGCGCGCCGGCGTCCGCACTGTCGCCGACGATCCTTGCGTTGGAGCACGTTGTTTTCCGAGCATCAGTCGCCGTAGCTATATTTATCAACTTAATATCTATCGACGGCTATCCCTAGCACAGTCTCTGTAAAGCGTTTTCGTTTGTCGATGTTTGGGGCTCATGACCTTTGATTGGGTGCATTCATACTGCTAGCGTTTTCCCGTTGCTCGGCAGTGATCGATGCTGGAAAATAGCCGCTCATGAGTGAGGCCCAGACGGCTGGGTAGATGCACGTATTAGTGCGGAAGAGAACAAAGGGAACCCTTTCCCCGTCCAATCATGAAGTAAAATCTTCACACCCGAATCTTCCCGTTAAAATCGTTCTCTCTGCTGGCCTGCAGCATGGGTCATTGTTGTGTAGCGTATCGATCGAAGGCCGTCGACAGCGTCGGCGGAGAAACCAGCGCCGACGGTGGCGGAGGTGCTGTGCTAAGAATGCGCTCATTGGCACCGAACTATGAAAGTGGCTGCTGACAAGATAAGATCATGTTTCGTTCCTCCTCAATATCGAGACAATTCTTGGTAGTGTTGAATGAAATTCGTGAGACTCGTCATGAGGAAAATCAATCCATCGGTAGTGAGAACAGCAAAAACTAGTTAACAAGCTGAACCCTACAAGGGCGTTCTCGGCGGAAGAGAGCGGTTTAATCGAAGCTTCAGCTCTAACAGAGCTCTATTCGGACTGACATACCTAACCTTCTTTGTGCCGGGAGTTCGTAACAGCAGATACCCTCTGGAACCATATTTCTCTTCAATTGCACCTTAAGGAGAAGCTGTCTGGAGGTTGTTACGGGAATTTTATAAAATGGGGTCCCTGAGAGTTCCTGAACTGTGAAACAAATTCTATACAGTTTCTCCGATTTCTTCTCCTTTACTTCAACATTCTCTGTTGATTTGTTTCACAACATTAAATTGCTCTATGAGCAGTTAAAACTTACATCATGAGCAATTTTGAACAATAATGTAGAGCCCAATAGCTTGGAGACAGGTGATGTTTGGTGTACTACTATACATTTTGAGGGAAATAATGGAAGTCATGGTGCCGAATCGTGCAAAGATGGCAAAGGGAGCGCAAAGATTGGTGGATTCAAAAGATGTAAGGTTTCGAAAGAGTAGCAAAAAAGGGTTTTACGAGGCCGTTGTCTGCTTCCATTCTGAGTGGCTCTCACATAGTCGTACTATTCATGTTGTCTTGTAAATAGTGCAGTGATAACAAGGACGGCCTAACGCAGCCAATTACAGTGTGCGCGTGGGCCTGGACGGTTCTGTAGCCCTTGTTACTCCCGTCTAGGCCGTTTTTTTTGGCCCGACAATGTCCCATGTTCTATTTTGGGGGCCACAGATTTATTCCAGTACAGAGTCTCAGAAGCCACATTTTTATCGGAACTGTGCCTTTCAGACGATGTGCCAATTATTTAACCCTATCTCTAAACCATCTTGAGATCAAGTTCATTGTCCATGTTGCAACAACGCCATATGTTTTCTTGCTAAAGGGAGGCCCTAGCTTTCCAAATGCCAATATGCAGTGTCTCGATGAAGCATTTTGACATTGTACTTATAATTATTTATCGTTTATTAAGGGGCTTAATGGGAGTGCCACAATCGACTTCGTATTAAACGATTGTAAGAAAATGTAACGGCAATACGAAAATGAAATGTCGAAGTAGTGCAAATTTCTGCTTTGATGTTTTATCTCTGCTTACGCAAGTTAGTTTCGTTGTTGTACTTGTCGGTCCTGTGTTTTTCCCTCTCATCCGGGGGCATGGTTAATGCAGCATGTCCAGCCATGGTGATTAACTATTCTTTTTTGCTTCTGACGACGATTGCAAATGGGTGCCTTGGATGTGCTCGCATAAAGTGGATTCACTGAAGTTACGTAGATTGCTGGAAGAAATTGATTTTTCACTTCAACACAACCGACGAGAGCGAATTTCAATGGGAGTTTTATATGCAGCGTTAATTTGCCTCATGTTTAAACAAGAACTCAATCAAGTGTTGATAAGATTCAACGCGTTCCCACTGGTTCCACAGCTTCCACTTTTTCGTTTGGGTTCCTTTTACTGTTTCCCTTTGTCTCGTTGTCGGTCGGTGACGATGTTAGCGCCTTTGCATTCATCGAGTGTTCTCAAATGTAATTAGCTCAACGCATTGGAATCGTCATCTAATTCTGACCGCCTTAAAAATCTGCCCTTTCGTGAATACTTTAATCCAGCACTTTCCTTGGATGTCAAGTTTTTCTGGCTTCGTTTTTTTGCTGTGATTGTTTTGCCGCATATTCAATCATAGTAACTCGTTTGTCCGAATGTGTTGGCACGTACAACCCGGCTAACCATTTTTATTTGGAACAGAAAGGTTTTCCAGATGTCAGACGCTGTTGGCGAACAGAAGTTGTTGAGTGAGCTGCGTGTAACGGAGCTGAAGCAGGAGTTGG